CAGGACTTGAGAGAACGTTAGTTCATTTCTTCATGCCTAAGAACAGCCCTTAGCCGTGGTATATTGGCCATATACCACACTTCCTCTGATCTTTTGCCTATTGCTTAATTATACCATTACATTGTTGAATACTCGTTTCTGATTGGCTAGAAGGGCATTCTAGAATAGACATTAAAACCAGATAACGGGACAGTTGGAAAAGATATCGGGACACCTTGCAATCATTACATTTTACATTTTAGTCATTTAGCAGACACTCTTATCCAGAGCGACTTTACAGTTAGTGAGTGCATACATTTTCATACTGGCCCCCCGTGGGAAACGAACCCACAACCCTGGCGTTCCAAGCGCCATGCTCTACCAACTGAGCTACATGACGCAATATGCACCTAAACATGCAGACCGTACTTGATACAAAGTTACAGAAAGTTAAACCAACAACCACACAAACTGAAATGGGATACATTGTAAACGCAGCTCCAACGAGGAAAAACCTAGCAGCTAGCTGGCATTGTTTTGTTTTTGCAGGGACTTATTTTTTTGGAGCATCTGATGACCCAACGTGGTGAGTGACAAACATACAGTGAGGGAAAAAAGTATTTGATCCCCTGCTGATTTTGTACATTTGCCCACTGACAAAGAAATGATCAGTCTATAATTTTTTGTTTATTTGAACAGTGAGAGACAGAATAACAACAACAAAATCCAGAAAAACGCATGTCAAAAATTTTATAAATTGATTTGCATTTTAATGAGGGAAATAAGTATTTGACCCCCTCTCAATCAGAAAGATTTCTGGCTCCCAGGTGTCTTTTATACAGGTAACGAGCTGAGATTAGGAGCACACTCTTAAAGGGAGTGCTCCTAATCTCAGTTTGTTACCTGTATAAAAGACACCTGTCCACAGCAGCAATCAATCAATCAGATTCCAAACTCTCCACCATGGCCAAGACCAAAGAGCTCTCCAACGATGTCAGGGACAAGATTGTAGACCTACAAGACCATCGCCAAGCAGCTTGGTGAGAAGGTGACAACAGTTGGTGCGATTATTCGCAAATGGAAGAAACACAAAAGAACTGACAATCTCCCTCGGCCTGGGGCTCCATGCAAGATCTCACCTCGTGGAGTTGCAATGATCATGAGAACGGTGAGGAATCAGCCCAGAACTACACGGGAGGATCTTGTCAATGATCTCAAGGCAGCTGGGACCATAGTCACCAAGAAAACAATTGGTAACACACTACGCCGTGAAGGACTGAAATCCTGCAGCGCCCGCAAGGTCCCCCTGCTCAAGAAAGCACATATACAGGCCCGTCTGAAGTTTGCCAATGAACATCTGAATGATTCAGAGGAGAACTGGGTGAAAGTGTTGTGGTCAGATGAGACCAAAATCGAGCTCTTTGGCATCAACTCAACTCGCTGTGTTTGGAGGAGGAGGAATGCTGCCTATGACCCCAAGAACACCATCCCCACCGTCAAACATGGAGGTGGAAACATTATGCTTTGGGGGTGTTTTTCTGCTAAGGGGACAGGACAACTTCACTGCATCAAAGGGACGATGGACGGGGCCATGTACCATCAAATCTTGGGTGAGAACCTCCTTCCCTCAGCCAGGGCATTGAAAATGGGTCGTGGATGGGTATTCCAGCATGACAATGACCCAAAACACACGGCCAAGGCAACAAAGGAGTGGTTCAAGAAGAAGCACATTAAGGTCCTGGAGTGGCCTAGCCAGTCTCCGGACCTTAATCCCATAGAAAATCTGTGGAGGGAGCTGAAGGTTCGAGTTGCCAAACGTCAGCCTCGAAACCTTAATGACTTGGAGAAGATCTGCAAAGAGGAGTGGGACAAAATCCCTCCTGAGATGTGTGCAAACCTGGTGGCCAACTACAAGAAACGTCTGACCTCTGTGATTGCCAACAACGGTTTTGCCAACAAGTACTAAGTAATGTTTTGCAGAAGGGTCAAATACTTATTTCCCTCATTAAAATGGAAATCAATTTATAACATTTTTGACATGCGTTTTTCTGGATTTTTGTTGTTGTTATTCTGTCTCTCACTGTTCAAATAAACCTACCATTAAAATTATAGACTGATCATGTCTTTGTCAGTGGGCAAACGTACAAAATCAGCAGGGGATCAAATACTTTTTTCCCCTCACTGTACATTCCTCTGGTCCCTATGTTGCAGTCATGACGCAAGTGGCGCTCTGCTGTCAAATCAAATCAAACCCACAACCCTGGCATTGCAAACGCCATGCTCTACCAACTGAGCTACATCCCTGCCGGCCATTCCCTCCCCTACCCTGGACGACGCTGGGCCAATTGTGCGCCGCCCCATGGGTCTCCCGGTCGCGGCCGGCTACGACAGAGCCTGGATTCGAACCAGGATCTCTAGTGGCACAGCTAGCACTGCGATGCAGCGCCTTAGACCACTGCGCCACTCGGGAGAGTGCAATCTCCTCATAATGAACAGTGTCGAGTGTCCTGACGAGAATGCAAACTTTTCAAGCTATGCCAGACAAAATCGGGCATTATCAGCTCATTTCTATGGATGTATCCAAACAGCTGCTTTGCTGTTATTCTGGCTGCAGAGGTTGTGACTGTGTTAGCCGTAGCTTGCTGGCTAGCTAGCAAGGGATAAGAACGTTGCCAGTGAGCATGGCAATGGAACATAAAGAACAAACGACTGGGTAGCGTCCATAAATATCTAAGGAACGACTGGGTTGCGTCTCTAGCAACCAAAAGTTGAAAGTCTGAATTTGCTTATACATATATATTACGATTTTTATTTTACTGGTAAATGTGTGCTTAGCATTCTTTTCTTTGGCAACTGTGATATAAGCAGGATAAACAGCTTAAACAAATGCAGCGCAATACATTTTGCTGTTATTCTGGCTACAGAGGTCGTGACTGTGCAGCTGTAACGTTAGCTTTTTAAAAATATTTGTTATTTAACCTTTATTTAACCAGGAAAAGCCCATTGAGACCCAGAGTCTCTTTTTCAAGGGAGACCTGGCCAAGTTGGCTAGCTAGCAAGCAAGGGATAAGAACCTTGCCACTGAGCATGGCAACGGAACATTAATATCGAACGAACGACTGGGTCGCGTCTCTATCAACCAAAAGATGAGAAAGTATGAATTTGCTTTAAAATGAAAATAAACTAAATATATATATTTGTACGGGTAAATGTATGCTTTATTATTGATTTATTGCGTCGTCCATTATTTCCAAGGTAATGTACAGAACGTTGAGGTTTATCCCGAACATATTCGAAACTTGTATGCATTAACTAGTCCAAATACGGCATGATTCCACTATTTGTATCCGTTTGCGTCAATTTCAATGCAGGGCTTTTATTTTGAAGCGAACCGCAAATTCCTCTATTGTGGCTAAACGTTATTGGGGCTACCTTCACATGGGTTGTTTTGGCAGTGCTGGCCGCTGCTGAAAACGACGAATCTCCAGATTTCCTGCTTTCCGTGTGGAGGCATGCATCGAAAACTCGGGTCAACTAGCTGTTACAAGGGACACATACGTGAACGAATATCTTTGTTAGCTATTCATCCGATTGATAAAGTTGATTTTAAAAAATGCCATTAACTGGCCAGCTATCTTGAAACTGCTGGGGCCAAACTAGCTAACGTTAGTTTACTCCCACCATCAGTTCACTGTAGCTAGGTTTGTAGAAAATAACAATTAACTATATAATTGGAAGCTGTATTTGAAAGACTAGCTAGTTACTGCCTAGTCAGCAGTTTTTTTGCTTGCTTTACATCCGACAGATCTTTAGGTACCGTAGCTAGCTAGATAATAATGATTTATAATAATTCCAGTTTAGTTCATTAGCTAGCTAAGTGTGAGTCTGGCTGTAAAACGCAGCTAGCTAGCCAACTCGACTTCATCATTTGTAGCCATACTAGCTAGCTTGATACTCACGCAGTAACGTTAGTTTACAGTGAGTGATTTTCTGGGCAATCCCGGTCAACCCCTTCTTGCCTACTCCCATCTCTTGGTCTTCTTCTAGGTTCAAAACTATTTGGCTAAAGTCCGGTGCCTTGTTGTCAAAAGCAACCCACTCATAACACAGCCACATGGTGCAGTCAATGGCTCAGTGTTCCAAAACTGTTTACCCGCTTCTACGTCAAGGAAGGACTGTTCTTTTTGTGTGTTTTTATGGTGCACGTGTGTCACAGCAGCATATAATCGATTTTATCTCCAACATCCACCAAAAAAACAGTGATATATCATATTGATACATAGCTATATGCGCTACACATTATTGTTTGGGGGGTGCTAATCCGTTATACTGAACGCAGCCCAGGGAAGTGCAATCGAGAAACGCGCATTGGCATTGATCCACCAATGGTGTGTTAGATACCACCCACATACGTTTGCTTGACACCTCCTCATTATCATATTGGAGGAAGACATACAGAGATAAATATATTAAGAAATAATATAAATGAATAAAATGAAAGAAAGTGGGAATAATTATTAAAATTATGATTGATCTATTCGTGTGCATTTGTTTATTTATCTATTTATATGTGCATTTATTTATTTCGAATTACAGCAGATTTGGTCCTCCATATGTGTGTGTACAATATACACTGCTCAAAAAAATAAAGGGAACACTTACACAACACAATGTAACTCCAAGTCAATCACACTTCTGTGAAATCAAACTGTCCACTTATCTGCTGGGAGCCTGTAGTGTGGTTTTCCACTTTAATTTTGAGGGTGACTCCAAATCCAGACCTCCATGGGTTGATACATTTGATTTCCATTGATAATTTTTGTGTGATTTTGTTGTCAGCACATTCAACTATGTAAAGAAAAAAGTATTTAATAAGATTATTTCATTCATTCAGATCTAGGATGTGTTATTTTAGTGTTCCCTTAATTTTTTTGAGCAGTGTATAACAGTTCAATAGTATAATATTCAGAGACTCACTTCCTAAGCAGGAACTTGTTGATTGTCTTCTGTTTCCTCATACACTCTACTATCAGTCTGTTCAGGAAGACAAACAGGGCCCCACCAAACCCACACGCAATCCTGAGGAGGACAGGGGACAGAGTCACACACAGTTCTAGGTTAACAGCCATTTACAGGGACCATACTGAGGAGTTTGAGCAGGGTGTGTAGAACACACAGGACACAGGAAACACACACACGTACCCCAGGATGGCGAAGGCTGGCAACTCCTGGAGGTCAAAGGGGAAGTCCAGACGGAAACGTGTCTTAAAGAGAGCCGTGATGGTCTCTGAGAGAGAGAGAGAGAGAAAGACAGAGACAGACACAGAGAGAAGAGAGAGAGAGAATAACATCAGTCAGCTCTGACTAACTATTGGCTCAGTGACACAGACCCACAGATATCCACTAGCCAAGCTCAGATGGGAAGGAGGTTGGGAGGGTGAGAGGGTGTCCTCTCTGACCTGTGTTCTGCAGGAGTCAAGACGTGTGTTACTGTTAGATTGTTTAAATGAAAATAGTACAAAGAGATGCTCATGGTGCATTTGAGCAATAAGGCACCAGGGGGTGTGGTATATGGCCAATATACCATGGCAAAGGGCTGTTCTTATGCACGACGCAACGTGGAGTGTCTGGATACAGCGCTTAGCCGTGGTATATTGGCCATATATCACAAACCCCTGAGGTGCCTTATTGCTATTATAAACTGGTTACCAACGTCCCCCCCCCCCCCCCCCCGGCACACACACACCTCCTCACCTTCGTCCTGGTTCCACACAGCCAGTACTCTGAAGATGAAGGCGCTGAAGGTGGCAGCAAAAAAGCCCCTCCAGTAGTTCCTCACCGCAAAGAATGTTGACGTTACCTCAATGCTGAAGAGCACACCTGCAACACACACACACACGCACAATCACTGTTGCAGTAACACCATTCCTCACTTACTGTATTTCTCCCCCTCATGTATTGTAATGTACATGGACTTCCCATGGTTACGTACCTCCAATAGGGGCAGCGAAGCAGCATCCCACCCCTACTGCACACGCTGCTGATAGCATCTCTGTGTTCCTCAACTCATTCTGTAATAGGAACATACACACACCCACACACACAGACCAACACACAAACACATATGTGCAAGCACACATAGTACACACACATACAAATACATAATGGAATCACAGATAGGAATGTTGGAATTTAAATTAACTGAATAACATGAAGTAAAGGGAGATGTCATGTACTGTTTGTCTTATGTGTCATGATAGCATTCACATAGAACAGAACATAAATCCTTGATTGAAATGGAATGGCGCTCACATGACGACCCAACAAACATGAAACAAGTGGACACTCTGAGACGTGCACATACTTAGACACACGTGCACTCGTACCTTGTTTCCCTCAAAGGGCTCTTCCTTAAGCAGTAAGTGGGAAAAGACAGAAATCTGAGTGAGTACCTAAGAGTTCAAATGAAGAAAAGCAGAGACGAAAATCTGCTGGGAGATATTCTCTTTATCGCATCATTGCTTTGTTTTTGGACAGAAGATGCATTCAATCTCCTATAGTGAATGGGTTCAAATAGGATGAACCTCAACCCTGATCAATATGGAATTGTTCTAAAGTAGACAGTCTGATTTGATGCTTGCTGACTTGACATTTTCTTCCTCCATCTCCCTTTTCCTCCTCATCCTCATCCTCTCCCGCCTCCACCTCCTCCTCCTCCTCCAGTTCTTGGGTGGTGTATGGCAGAGAGAGTAATCTCTTGGCAGACTGAGAGCCATAGACAGGAGTCGTACTGTGTGCTGGAGCCCAGGGTCGGGCTCAGGTGAGTGGGGGTGAGAGTGTGTCCTGGAGGGGTGGCAGGCTGTTCAGACAGATATCACACAGATACTAAAACCAAATTGAGTGGGAGTAAGTGTGTGTGTGTGTGGTGTGTGGTGCTGTCTCTCACCATGTAAATCCCACCAAACAAGGCAGCCATGAATTTACTCAGGAGAGCTGCACACAGACTGGCCACATGAACAAACGGGCCCTGAGCGAGAGATCGGAGGAGAGAGAGAGAGATTGGAGGGGAGAGAGAGAGAGAGATGTAGTGGTAGGGGTCAGAGGATGAGGGAGAGAAAGAATATGGAAATGCAGAGTTAGTAATAAAGGAGGGGGAAAGAAGGCAGAACTAAACCAATTTCAGACCCGTATTCATAAAGAGTCTCAGAGTAGGAGTGCTGATCTAGAATCAGGTCCCCCCTGTCCATATAACCGTATTCATGATGATGTAAAGGCAAAACTGCTCCTAGATCAGCACTAAATAAGAGCCCAGGAATTTCAAACATTTCACTTTTATTCCTTAACAGTCCACTAGGGGTTTCCCACCTCCTTTCCCAGGGGCATGCCACTGCCCAGAGCACAGGTCAGCCCGATAACCTTGGCCACAAAGGTTTTAAAGGTGAGATACTCCTTCAGTACCACGCCTCTAAGAATGGTCTTCATCTCTGGGATACCCGAACCTGAGGAAGAGGAGGAGATGAGAGAGGGGGGTGGAGGAGAGGAGAGGGAGGGAGGTGGGAGAGGAGGAGGGGGAGGACGTAGAGTGTGGTAAAATGTATATTCATTGGTCAACTTCAAGATTATGTATGAATTCAAGGCAGTCAGTACTAGTGGTTTCAAGGATATAGTCAAGGATGTCCTGAAGTTGTAAAACTTCTGTCAACTACCCATGTGGACTGAGTCCACTCCATACATCTGTGACCTTTAAATAATCATGCACAGTGTTTTATTCTGTATGCAAATGAGCTATTTAAATATATGAGAGTGAGAGTGTGCATGATTAGGAATAAATGTAGGTGTAAGATTAAATTGAATGAGAGTGTGTGTGCGTGTGTGTGTGAGTATCTTACCCACAGCCTGCGGGGCAAGTATCTGTGTGAACCCTGCTGAGAAAGTGATGAGCACCACAGGGTAGGTGACCCAGGCTAGGTACTGAAGGAGCATGTTACTGTCCAGTCCCCCGTACATCCACTTCTGAGCTACAGTGCAGACACACACACACACACACACACACACACACACACACACACACACACACACACACACAAACAAAACCTATTAAAGGGCACATTCCAGAACTTTTTACACTAGTGGAGCTAGGAATATCCCTCCCTCCCTCCCTCCCCTATGGTGTAGTCCATTACCCAGCTGACCACCATTACCAGGGTCATGAGTAGACCCAGGAATATCTCTCCCTCACTCTCCTTCCCTTCCTCCCTCTCACCTTGTTGACAGAAGGCTATAGCGTAGTCCATCACCCAGCTGACCAGGGCCATGACCAGACCCAGGAGGATGAGAAAGATCCAGTCCTCACCCACACGAGAGATCAGGAACTTCTGACAGCGAGACTTACACACTGGAGAGAGAAAGAGAGGAGAGGGAGAGAGAGGAGAGGGGGTGGGAGAGAGGAGAGAGGAGAGAGGAAGATTAAAAAGACAACAGCATAAAATAAGAGAGAAATAGTCAGTGTAACAAGACAGAGAGAGAGAGAGAGAGAGCACGTAAAAAAAAGACAGATATGGAGTGATGAGAAATGGAGACAGAAGGAACACTGTGTGAAAAGCCAGTGGGATGGAGAGACGGACAGAAATGCATTACAACTTGTTGAGCTGAATGAATGAATAAGGGAATGAGTGGACTTAGAGATCGGTGGAAAGAGAGACACAGGAAGCGAGTGATGGAGAGATAATAGGGATGTATTGAGAGAGGGAGGAAAGGTGGACGGAAATAGGAGGAACTGGATGTCCCTTAGGACACAATCAAACATTGAGGAGAACACTGAGTGTCTTGAGGGACACAGTATATGAATGCTCTAGATACTGAACCGGTGGAATTCCAGACTTTGCCAGTTCACAGAAAAATGAGAATAAATTGGGTCCAATTAAGCCTCTTTTAGCTGACCTAACATTGTTTCTTTCATGATTCTCTTGGGTGCTCTATATGTCTGTCTTTGTCTTACTACACAGACATACAGTATCAGCCAATAGCCTCTCAAAGGCTATGTCCCAAATGGCACCCTATTCCCTATATAGTGCACAACGGGCCCTGGTCAAAAGTAGTGCACTACAGAAACAGATTATGCCATTCTCTAAGCAGTAGGAAGCAGATTATTCAGTCAACCTGTTTATCTGTTCTTGAATATGGTGATATTTATGAAAGTGCAGCTGCTACTACTCTTAAACCTTGGGATGCCATCTACCATAGTGCCCTTCATTTTGTTACATGTGACAGTTTTGATACTCATCACTGCATTCTGTATCAAAAGGTTGGCTAGACATCACTAAAGACCCATAGAGCTCTACATTATTCCCTTATTGTTTACAAGACCCTACTTCGTAAACGTCCATATTATCCAACTTTGTGTTGAAGTATAGACACCTGAGTTGCCTAACCCGGTCACAGGATTGGTTAACTCGAGGTTCCTAGGGTCTCCAACGAGCTAGGTAAATCTGCTTTTAGTTTTAATGCACCGTATTGGTGGAACAAAATTTGAAATACAATTAATCTTGATGTTCTCGTGCCATTCATGCAATTTAAAGTATTGATTGGGGACTTACAGTGGATTGCGAAGGTATTTACCCCCCTTGGCATTTTTCCTATTTTGTTGCCTTACAACCTGGAATTAAAATGGATTTTTGGGGGGGTTTGTATCATTTAATTTACACAACATGCCTACCATTTTGAAGATGCAAAATATTTGTTATTGTGAAACAAACAAGACATAAGACAAAAAACTTGAGCGTACATAACCCCCCAAAGTTAATACTTTGTAGAGCCACCTTTTGCAGCAATTACAGCTGCAAGTCTCTTGGGGTATGTCTCTATGAGCTTGGCAGATCTAGCCACTGGGATTTTTGCCCATTCTTCAAGGCAAAACTGCTCCAGCTCCTTCAAGTTGGATGGGTTCCGCTGGTGTACAGCAATCTTTAAGTCATACCACAGATTCTCAATTGGATTGAAGTCTGGGCCTTGACTAGGCCATTCCAAGACATTTAAATGTTTCCCCTTAAACCACTCGAGTGTTGCTTTAGCAGTATGCTTAGGGTCATCATCCTGCTGGAAGGTGAACCTCTGTCCCAGTCTCAAATCTCTGGAAGACTGAAACAGGTTTCCCTCAAGAATTCCCTGTATTTAGCGCCAGCCATCATTCCTTCAATTCTGACCAGTTTCCCAGTCCCTGCCGATGAAAAACATCCCCACAGCATGGTGCTGCCACCACCATGCTTCACTGTGGGGATGGTGTTCTCGGGGTGATGAGAGGTGTTGGGTTTGCGCCAGACATAGCGTTTTTCTTGATGGCCAAAAAGCTCAATTTTAGTCTCATCTGACCAGAGTACCTTGTTCCATATGCTTGGGGAGTCTCCCACATGCCTTTTGGCAAACACCAAACATGTTTGCTTATTTTTTTCTTTAAGCAATGGCTTTTTTCTGGCCACTCTTCCGTAAAGCCCAGCTCTGTGGAGTGTACGGCTTAAAGTGGTCCTATGGACAGATACTCCAATCTCCGCTGTGGAGCTTTGCAGCTCCTTCAGGGTTATCTTTGGTCTCTTTGTTGCCTCTCTGATTAATGCCCTCCTTGCCTGGGCCGTGAGTTTTGGTGGGCGGCCCTCTCTTGGCAGGTTTGTTGTGGTGCCATATTCTTTAAAAAAAAAATTACAATGGATTTAAATGGTGCTCTGTGGGATGTTCAAAGTTTCTGATCATTTTTTATAACCCAACCCTGATCTGTACTTCTCCACAACTTTGTCCCTGACTTGTTTGGAAAGCTCCTTAGTCTTCATGGTGCCGCTTGCTTGGTGGTGCCCCTTGCTTAGTGGTGTTGCAGACTCTGGGGCCTTTCAGAACAGGTGTATATATACTGAAATTATGTGACAGATCATGTGACACTTCGATTGCACACAGGTGGAACTTCACCAATTTGGACTGTTTTGTGTATGTCCATTACATGAAATCCAAATAAAAATCAATTTAAATTACAGGTTGTAATGCAACAAAATAGGAAAAACGCCAAGGGGGATGAATACTTTTGCAAGGAACTGTATTGTTGTCCATTAGTTTACTCCAATTAGGGTAGGGGTGGTAGGATAGGGGGGAAAAGTATAGATACATTTTTTTATTAAATAAATAAATAAATAAGGGGGGTTAGAAATTATGCAAAACAATTCCATTTTTAGAACCTACACTCTATCTGCAATATTAAAGCTGATCTACCCTCCACCCCCAAAAAATAAAAATTATAATAATAATTACTAAACAAAAAGCAATTGCTTCTACTGACACAGTTGCTGTACATTTTCTGTATTCAACCAATGTCCCTTCACTGCCACAGAGATATACACTACCGGTCAAAAGTTTTAGAACACCTACTCATTCAAGGTTTTTTCTTTATTTGTACTATTTTCTAAATTGTAGAATAATAGTGAATATCAAAAAAGTGTTAAACAAATCAAAATATATTTTAGATTCTTCAAATAGCCACCGTTTGCCTTGATGACAGCTTTGCACACTCTTGGCATTCTCTCAACCAGCTTCATGAGGTCGTCACCTGGAATGAATTTCAATTAACAGGTTTGCCTTCTTAAAAGTTAATTTGTGGAATTTCTTTCCTTCTGAATGCGTTTGAGTCAATCAGTTGTGTTGTGACAAGGTAGGGGGGTATACAGAAGAAAGCCCTATTTGGTATAAGACCAAGTCCATATTATGGCAAGAACAGCTCAAATAAGCAAAGAGAAACGACAGTCCATCATTACTTTAAGACATGAAGGTCAGTCAAGTTTCTTCAAGTGCAGTCACAAAAACAATCATGCGCTGTGATGAAACTGGCTCTCAAGAGGACCGCCACAGGAATGGAAGACCCAGAGTTACCTCTGCTGCACAGGATAGGTTCATTAGAGTTACCAGTCTCAGAAATTGAAGCCCAAATAAATGCTTCACAGAGTTCTAGTAACAGACACATCTCAACATCAACTGTTCAGAGGAGACTGCGTGAATCAAACCTTCATGGTTGAATTGCTGCAAAGAAACCACTTCTAAAGGACACCAATAATAAGAAGGGACCTGCTTGGGCCAAGAAACACGAGCAATGGACATTGGACTTGGTCTGGAGTCCAAATTTGAGATTTTTGTTTCCAACCGCCGTGTCTTTGTGAGATGTGGTGTGGTTGAAAGGATGATTTCCGCATGTGTATTTCCCATCGTAAAGCATGAAGGAGGAGGTGTTATGGTGTGGGGGTGCTTTGCTGGTGACACTGTCTATGATTTATTTAGAATTCAAGGCACACTTAACCAGCATGGCTACCACAGCATTCTGCAGTGATACGCCATCCCAGAGTGAAGGAAAAGCAGCCAACAAGTGCTCAGAATATGTGGGAACTCCTTCAAGACTGTTGGAAAAGCATTCCAGGTGAAGCTGGTTGAGAGAATGCCAAGAGTGTGCAAAGCTGTCACAAAGGCAAAGGGTTGCTATTTGAAAATATACACTGCTCAAAAAAATTAAGGGAACACTTAAACAACACAATGTAACTCCAAGTCAATCACACTTCTGTGAAATCAAACTGTCCACTTAGGAAGCAACACTGATTGACAATAAATGTCACATGCTGTTGTGCAAATGGAATAGACAACATGTGGAAATTATAGGCAATTAGCAAGACACCCCCAATAAAGGAGTGGTTCTGCAGGTGGTGACCACAGACCACTTCTCAGTTCCTATGCTTCCTGGCTGATGTTTTGGTCACTTTTGAATGCTGGCGGTGCTTTCACTCTATTGGTAGCATGAGACAGAGTCTACAACCCACACAAGTGGCTCAGGTAGTGCAGCTCATCCAGGATGGCACATCAATGCGAGCTGTGGCAAGAAGGTTTGCTGTGTCTGTCAGCGTAGTGTCCAGAGCATGGAGGCGCTACCAGGAGACAGGCCAGTACATCAGGAGACGTGGAGGAGGCCGTAGGAGGGCAACAACCCAGCAGCAGGACCGCTACCTCCTCCTTTGTGCAAGGAGGAGCAGGAGGAGCACTGCCAGAGCCCTGCAAAATGACCTCCAGCAGGCCACAAATGTGCATGTGTCTGCTCAAACGGTCAGAAACAGACTCCATGAGGGTGGTATGAGGGCTCGACGTCCACAGGTGGGGGTTGTGCTTACAGCCCAACACCGTGCAGGACGTTTGGCATTTGCCAGAGAACACCAAGATTGGCAAATTCGCCACTGGCGCCCTGTGCTCTTCACAGATTAAAGCAGGTTCACACTGAGCACATGTGACAGACGTGACAGAGTCTGGAGACGCCGTAGAGAACGTTCTGCTGCCTGCAACATCCTCCAGCATGACCGGTTTGGCGGTGGGTCAGTCATGGTGTGGGGTGGCATTTCTTTGGGGGGCCGCACAGCCCACCATGTGCTCGCCAGAGGTAGCCTGACTGCCATTAGGTACCGAGATGAGATCCTCAGACCCCTTGTGAGACCATATGCTGGTGCGGTTGGCCCTGGGTTCCTCCTAATGCAAGACAATGCTAGACCTCATGTGGCTGGAGTGTGTCAGCAGTTCCTGCAAGAGGAAGGCATTGATGCTATGGACTGGCCCGCCCGTTCCCCAGACCTGAATCCAATTGAGCACATCTGGGACATCATGTCTCGCTCCATCCACCAACGCCAAGTTGCACCACAGACTGTCCAGGAGTTGGCGGATGCTTTAGTCCAGGTCTGGGAGGAGATCCCTCAGGAGACCATCCGCCACCTCATCAGGAGCATGACCAGACATTGTAGGGAGGTCATACAGGCAAGTGGAGGCCACACACACTACTGAGCCTCATTTTGACTACTTGTTTTAAGGACATTACATCAAAGTTGGATCAGCCTGTAGTGTGGTTTTCCACTTTAATTTTGAGTGTGACTCCAAATCCAGACCTCCATGGGTTGATAAATTTGATTTCCATTGATAATTTTTGTGTGATTTTGTTGTCAGCACATTCAACTATGTAAAGAAAAAAGTATTTAATAAGATTATTTCATTCATTCAGATCTAGGATGTGTTATTTTAGTGTTCCCTTTATTTTTTTGAGCAGTGTATTTTGATTTGTTTAACACTTTTTTGGTTACTGCATGATTCCATATGTGTTATTTCATAGTTTTGATGTCTTCACTATTATTCTACAATGTAGGAAATAGTAAAAATAAAGAAAAACCCTTGAATGAGTAGGTGTTCTAAAACATTTGACCGGTAGTGTACATGTTATTTTTTCCTTAGATAGACATACTCCTGATTTGAAATTCAAACATTTCTTATCTTGGAGTGAGATAGAGAGAGAAAGATTGATGTAGGGAGGGAGAGAGAGATGGACATGTCAGATAGGAAGATAGAGGGAGAGGTGGGAAAGGAAATAGATAGAGAAGAGAGAAAGAAACAATAAATCAAGACAGTCAAAACTGCAGTTGACAGTGGAGTGGAGCAAGAGAGACAGACAGGCGTAGAGACGGAGAGAGCAGCTGATAGACAGACAGTGATGGGGTTGAGAGGAAAGGTTACACAGGGACATTGAGGTCCCCCCAGGGGGCAGTAGTGGAGCACAACTGTGTTCGTGCCAGCATGACAAGGCCAGATGACCCACCTGCTGAATGGCACCTCGCCCACACCTGCGCATGGGAATGCACACGCACATACACACACACAAGCACGCACGCAGATGGTCACACACACAGGCATACTGTACACACGCACACACATACATGCATGCACACATGAACACACACACACACTAGTTTGGCATGTGGTGGGTGGCCCTCTGCCCAGTGCTTCCATGGGCAACTTGGCCCCTCCTTATATCCGCAGCCACAGTAGCGTGACAGTCTCCAGTCTTCTTTTCAACCCAAAAGCCAAAACACAGACAGTCTGCCAGATACACATTTTTATCACTGCGTAATGAATTGCTCATTCTGTATTTCGGAATATGAATCGTACAAACATACTGTAAATTATATAATTACATGTAGGCCAAAGATATCAAAACAAATGTGAGTGTAAAGTCCCTCAGCAGAACAGTCACTAGCAAGCAGTGCGCAAAATGGGAAAAGCCTATTTTATGACAAAGCACTGCCTCATCTCAAATAAAGTCTTGAAGAACACTTCGAACAGGATGAATAGAGATTGGAGGAGCGATATCCCCTAACTTACTGGAAACGTTTTGGAAATCACAACCTGTTATCTGGGTTCAAGTCTTTACCACACAACTCCAGTTTGTACAAATGTTTTTTCTGGTATATACTGTATATAAACAGTAAACACAGTCTATGGAAGTTAATTTGAAATGCACATAGATCATCACACAAAAAGCAGTAAGCCTACACATTCACTGAGAATACAAAACATTAGGAACACTTTCGCTTTCCATGACAGACTGACCAGGTGAATCCAGGTGAAAGCTATGATCCCTTATTGATGTCACTTGTTAAATCCACTTCAATCAGTGTAGACGAAGGGGAGGAGACAGGTTAAAGAAGGATTTTTAAGCCTTGAGACAACTCACAGTAGGTTGGTGGCAACTTAATTGGGGAGGACAGGCTCGTGGTAATGGCTGGAGCGGAATTAGTTGAATGGTAGCAAATACAGAAAACACATGGTTTCCATTTGCTCTGTTCCAGACATTATTATGAGCCGTCCTTCCCTCAACAGCCTCCACTGGTGCAACTCAATATTAGGAAGGTGTTCTTAATGTTTTGTACACTCAGTTTAAGCTCATTGTACTACAGTTGAAGTCGGAAGTTTACATACACCTTAGCCAAATACATTTAAACTCAGTTTTTCACAATTCCTGACATTTAATCCTAGTAAAAAAGCCCTGTCTTAGGTCAGTTAGGATCACCACTTTATTTTAAGAATGTGAAATTCCAGAATAATAGTAGAGAGAATGATTTATTTCAGCTTTTATTTCTTTCATCACATTCCCAGTGGGTCAGAAGTTTACATACACTCAATTAGTACTTGGTAGCATTGCCTTTAAATTGTTTAACTTGGGTCAAACATTCAGGGTAGCCTTCCACAAGCTTCCCACAATAAGTTGGGTGAATTTTGGCCCATTCCTCCTGACAGAGGTGGTGTAACTGAGTCAGGTTTGTAGGCCTCCCTGCTCGCACACGCTTTTTTAGTTCTGCCCACAAATGTTCTATAGGATTGAGGTCAGAGCTTTGTGATGGCCACTCCAAAACCTTGACTTTGTTGTCCTTAAGCCATTTTGCCACAACTTTGGAAGTATGCTTGGGGTCATTGTCCATTTGGAAGACCCATTTGCGACCAAGCTTTAACTTCCTGACTGATGTCGCTTCAATATATCCACATAATTTTCCTACCTCATGATGCCATCTATTTTGTGAAGTGCACCAGTCCCTCCTGCAGCAAAGCAACCCCACAGCATGATGCTACCACCCCTGTACTTCATGGTTGGGATGTTGTTCTTCGGCTTGCAAGCGCCCCCATTTTCCTCCAAACATAATGATGGTCATTATGGTAAAACAGTTCTACTTTTGTTTAATCAAACCAGAGGACATTTCTCCAAAAAGTACAATCTTTGTCTCCATGTGCAGTTGCAAACCGTAGTCTGGCTTTTTTATGCCGGTTTTGGAGAAGTGGCTTCTTCCTTGCTGAGCGGCCTTTCAGGTTATGTTGATATAGGACTCGTTTTACTGTGGATATAGATACTTTTATACCCGTTTCCTCCAGCATCTTCACAAGGTCCTTTGATGTTGTTCTGGGATTGATTTGCACTTTTCGCACCAAAGTACGTTCATCTCTAGGAGACAGAACGCATCTCCTTCCTGAGCGGTATGACGGCTGCGTGGTCCCATGGTGTTTATACTTGAGTACTATTGTTTGTACAGATGAACGTGGTACCTTCAGGCGTTTGGAAATTGCTCCCAAGGATGAAGCAGACTTGTGGAGGTCAACAATTGTTTTCTGAGGTCTTGGCTGATTTCTTTTGATTTTCCCATGATGTCAAGCAGAGGCACTGAGTTTGAAGGTAGGCCTTGAAATACATCCACAAGTACACCTCCAATTGACTCAAATTATGTCAATTAGCCTATCAGAAGCTTCTAAAGCCATTACATCATTTTCTGGAATTTTCCAAGCTGTTTAAAGGCACAGTCAACTTAGTGTATGTAAACTCCGGACCCACTGGAATAGTGATACAGTGAATTATAAGTGAATTCATCTGTCTGTAAATAATTGTTTGAAAAATTACTTGTGTCATGCACAAAGTACAGTGGGGGAAAAAAGTATTTAGTCAGCCACCAATTGTGCAAGTTCTCCCACTTAAAAAGATGAGAGAGGCCTGTAATTTTCATCATAGGTACACGTCAACTATGACAGACAAATTGAGAAGAAAAAAAATCCAGAAAATCACATTGTAGGATTTTTTATGAATTGATTTGCAAATTATGGTGGAAAATAAGTATTTGGTCACCTACAAACAAGCAAGATTTCTGGCTCTCACAGACCTGTAACTTCTTCTTTAATAGGCTCCTCTGTCCTCCACTCATTATCTGTATTAATAGCACCTGTTTGAACTTGTTATCAGTATAAAAGACACCTGTCCACAACCTCAAACAGTCACACTCCAAACTCCACTATGGCCAAGACCAAAGAGCTGTCAAAGGACACCAGAAACAAAATTGTAGACCTGCACCAGGCTGGGAAGACTGAATCTGCAATAGGTAAGCAGCTTGGTTTGAAGAAATCAACTGTGGGAGCAATTATTAGGAAATGGAAGTCATACAAGACCACTGATAATCTCCCTCGATCTGGGGCTCCACGCAAGATCTCACCCCGTGGGGTCAAAATGATCACAAGAACGGTGAGCAAAAATCCCAGAACCACACGGGGGGACCTAGTGAATGACCTGCAGAGAGCTGGGACCAAAGTAACAAAGCCTACCATCAGTAACACACTACGCTGCCAGGGACTCAAATCCTGCAGTGCAAGACGTGTCCCCCTGCTTAAGCCAGTACATGTCCAGGCCCGTCTAAAGTTTGCTAGAGTGCATTTGGATGATCCAGAAGAGGATTGGGAGAATGTCATATGGTCAGATGAAACCAAAATAGAACTTTTTGGTAAAAACTCAACTCGTCGTGTTTGGAGGACAAAGAATGCTGAGTTGCATCCAAAGAACACCATACCTACTGTGAAGCATGGGGGTGGAAACATCATGCTTTGGGGCTGTTTTTCTGCAAAGGGACCAGGACGACTGATCCGTGTAAAGGAAAGAATGAATGGGGCCATGTATCGTGAGATTTTGAGTTAAAACCTCCTTCCATCAGCAAGGGCATTGAAGATGAAACGTGGCTGGGTCTTTCAGCATGACAATGATCCCAAACACACCGCCCGGGCAACGAAGGAGTGGCTTCGTAAGAAGCATTTCAAGGTCCTGGAGTGGCCTAGCCAGTCTCCAGATCTCAACCCCATAGAAAATCTTTGGAGGGAGTTGAAAGTCCGTGTTGCCCAGCGACAGCCCCAAAACATCACTGCTCTAGAGGAGATCTGCATGGAGGAATGGGCCAAAATACCAGCAACAGTGTGTGAAAACCTTGTGAAGACTTACAGAAAACGTTTGACCTGTGTCATTGCCAACAAAGGGTATATAACAAAGTATTGAGAAACTTTTGATATTGACCAAATACTTATTTTCCACCATAATTTGCAAATAAATTCATAAAAAATCCTACAATGTGATTTTCTGGATTTTCTTTTGTCTGTCATAGTTGACGTGTACCTATGATGAAAATTACAGGCCTCTCTCATCTTTTTAAGTGGGAGAACTTGCACAATTGGTGGCTGACTAAATACTTTTTTTCCCCACTGTAGATGTCCTAACCGACATGCCAAAACTATAGTTTGTTAACAAGAAATGTGTGGAGTGGTTGAAAAACACGTTTTAATGACTCCAACCTAAGTGTATGTAAATTTCCAACTTCAACTGTATATACAGTGTTGTAGCAATGTGCAAATAGTTAAAGTACAAATGGGAAAATAAATACACAGTAGATGGCCGATGGTGGTGAGTGAGAGGAGTCAGTCACACTGAATTACACGTTAGCCTAGCATGTTAGCGAGTTCTCCCTCCAAGCTAACCCGCTCTCACTCTCTAAAGCTAACCGTCACGATGAGCCACTCAGCCTTTTGACAGAGTGTGTAGGCTGGGCTCTAAAACCCTCTGGATTTGGAGTAGAACACTCCTACACACACCCACGTATACAGAACAAAGGCACACACTCATCCTACTCCTATGAGGTATTGTGGTGTAGGTGGGAGGATGGCTGGGCTCACAGTGCGATATAGTTTTATATATATCGCACTGTGAACTTTCACCCGTTGTTATTTTAGCCTCCTTGGGCTCTCTCTCTCTCTCTCTGGAGAAGTGTCCTCGCCTCCTCAATAACCCCCCCCCCAAATCAGCTGTTGTTAACTCAGAGGAGAAAAGCATGTATTTAAAAACTATATGCTACTTATTACACAGTCTTATCCAGAGAAACTGAATACACTTTCATACTTGTCCCCCATGGGAATCAAACCCACAACCCTGGTATTGCAAGCGCCATGCTCTACCTACTGAGCCACACGGGACACTTATTCTTGAATCTATAAAAAGGCTTACACAACTGGCTAAATGTATTTTCACTACTTTAAACATTTAATAGGATTCCACCCCTGTAAACGTCATTTGCATAATGATGCGCGAGTGAAGAAGGACAGTCTCATTTCATACAAACACATTTGTTTCCACATTTCCTCTACTCCCCTCCTGTCCTCGGTTACCTTTGACCTTTTTCAAAAGGAGGCGAGAAGAGGATGGCGGAGTTGAGCAAACCAATTAAGAATCTCCCATAGAGACAGAGGACCTATTGACATGCACAACAGCAGCCATCACCATAACACATCCACAAACTAAGTCAAGGTTTCCCAAACTCGGTCCTGCACTAAATTACCATTAATCACCAGCAGAGGGGGCTGTTCTGACATTGACAGAGGCGCAGTGTTGTCACCCTCGACATCACAGCACAGGATTATACTGTATCATATTCATAAACTCCAACTTTACCCATCTATCACACTAGAGGCTGATAGGGTGCACTACTAATATAAGAATGTGTTCTGTGTTCAATACAGTAGAGCGGTCAGGTTGGGTCAGGTTAGGTCAGGGTAAGGTTATGGTCAGGTTAGGTCAGGTCAGGTTATGGTCAGTGTGGTGGTTAAGTGCAACATACACTGAGTGTACAAAACATTAAGGACACCTTCCTAATATTGTGTTGCACCTGCCTCTTCTGCCCTCAGAACAGCTTCAATTCGTCGGGGCATGGACTCTACAAGGTGTCGAAAGAGTTCCACAGGGATGCTGGCTGATATTGACTCCAATGCTTCCCAGAGTTGTGTCAAGTTGGCTGGATGTCCTTTGGGTGGTGGACCATTCTTGATACACATGGGAAACTGTTGTGCGTGAAAAACCCAGCAGCGTTGCAGTTCTTGACACAAACCGGTGCGCCTGGCACCTACTACCATACCCCAGTCAAAGGCACTTAAATATTGTGTCTTTCCCATTCACCCTATGAATGGCACACATAAACAATCAATTTCTCAATTGTCTCAAAGCATACAAATCCTTATTTAACCTGTCTCCTCCCCTTCATCTACACTGATTGAAGTGGACATCAATAAGGGATCATAGCTTTCACCTGGATTCACCTGGTCAGTCTATGTCATGGAAAGAGCCGGTGTCCTTAATGTTTTGTACACTCAGCGTAGGTCGACGCTGTCAGTTCAGCGGTTGTGGTGCACTCATAGGAGAGGTCATTGGATCACTGTGATCACTCACTCATTACACAGGTCAGTAAATATGAGTAGTCATATTGAGGTCATTACACGTCAGTAAATATGAGTGGTCATATTGAGGTCATTACACAGGTCAGTAAATATGAGTGGTCATATTGAGGTCATTACACACGTCAGTAAATATGAGTGGTCATATTGAGGTCATTACACGTCAGTAAATATGAGTGGTCATATTGAGGTCATTACACGTCAGTAAATATGAGTGGTCATATTGAGGTCGTTACACAGGTCAGTAAATATGAGTGGTCATATTGAGGTCATTACACGTCAGTAAATATGAGTAGTCATATTGAGATCATTACACGTCAGTAAATATGAGTGGTTATATTGAGGTCATTACACGTCAGTAAATATGAGTGGTCATATTGAGGTCGTTACACGTCAGTAAATATGAGTGGTCATATTGAGGTCATTACACGTCAGTAAATATGAGTGGTCATGTCGAGCTCATTAGACAGGTTAGTAAATATGAGTGGTCATGTTGAGGTCAGTCGGTCACTCACCATGACACTTGGCGCAGGGGTCTTTCTCATACTCCAGCAGCTCTGCCGACCTGTTGCGAACGCTGGTGGATCTCCGCAGCCCCCCGCCATCACGCAGGCGAGCCGCCTCCTCCTTGGCGTACACACCGAGCTCCTGTGTGTAACGCCCATACATCTGAATAAGACGGAAGGGGGGATGGAGAGGTGGGGAGGGAGACAGAATATTAGCTCATTTTCAAGTATTCAAAGTGACCCTCATCATACACAACCAGCTCCTGAGTTCTGTTTAATATAATCCATTAATCCATGGAAGAGAGAAGGATAGAGGGGGGAGAAGAGGGGGAGGTCAAGAGAAAATTAGAGAGGGAGAGATGGAAGGGGAAGGAAGGAGAAATAGCAGCTACATTTCAATAGTATAAAAAAAGCAGAGGTGTCAAACTCATTCCACGGACGGCCGAGTGTCTGCGGGTTTTAATTTTTTCCTTTCAATTAAGACCTAGACAACCAGGTGAGGGGAGCCCGTTACTAATCAGTGAGGGTAATTCATCAATCAAGTACAAGGGAGGAGCGAAAACCTGCAGACATTTGGTCCACCATGGAATGAGTTTGACACATGTGGTCTAAAGGAATATCTAAAAGGTGTTGATTCTTTATTTTTTTATGAAAGAGAGGGGACAAGAATAGGAAGCAACTTTAGACTACTGAGATGGATTCAAAGAGGAGGAGTATACCATTAATCAATTTCAAAGTATTCAAATGGTTCCATTCGATAGAAACAATCCCTAGGTGACGATCGCTCCGTTGAGCCAAACGAGCCATCAATGAGCTGCACCTGCCAGGCCCTGCCTGATTAACTACCCAGGGATGGTGACAGCTCGACTCTTAACGAGGAGGGGCGGGGCTCCTGCCAAACAAAAGCGCCCAATTAGGTATAAAAGCCTCAGCGAGCGCTCAGCAAGTACTGTGGATACAATTGTGTTGAACTATGGTGTCATCAGGGAGGTGTGTAGTTGTGTTGCTGGCTGTGTTTGTGTGCTACACTAGTGCACATACTTGGGGAATGCTACAACAGAAGCCCCAGGCTCAAGTAGTTCAGAAGGTGAGACAATCGAGGCCAGTAACTTATGACCAGCAGGCCAAGAAGCTGAAACCGCAGCCCCAGTGGCTGCCTCAGCAGGTTACCCAGGGACCAGTAGCCACAACTCCTATTGAGAAATGCCAAGTAAAGGAGGAAGAGCGGATTACTTGTGGAGCCCCGGATCTTACTCTTGCTAAATGTGAGGCGATCAACTGCTGCTTTGATGGGCGGCGGTGCTACTATGGGAAAGCAGGTGTGTCAACTGTTTTGGCTCTCCCTTAAGTTAATTTTACAATTTGCTTAATTCTTTGCGCTTGTCCCTGCCTATCTTGTAAGATGACTATTTAGAGTTATATTAGTGTCAACATAAAGGTAGTGAATTAAATGTTGGCACTATCATGCCATACCTTTCCAGAATGGCGCATGAGCTATAATTAATCTCCTCTGTGCCCACTCCTTCCCAAGTGACTGTGCAGTGTACCAGAGATGGTCAGTTTGTTGTGGTGGTGGCCAGGGATGCCACTCTGCCCAACCTGGACCTTGACTCAATCAGTCTGCTAGGACCACAAGATGCCCCCTGTAAGCCTGTTGGCACCACGAAAGCCTTTGCCATATACCAGTTTCCTGTCACTGCCTGTGGCACCACTCTGATGGTGGGTAGATACTTTCTCTTAATGTGCCATGCAATGTAAATCTATTGAGCATCTAGGAAAGTGCTTTATGAATCCAATCAATTGCTTCCAGTGGGTTCATATTTAGGGCTTGAGGTCAACACTGCTGGGGTTCTATTCTGCCTGGTAGTTAATTGATTGAGTCCTCTCACCTGGTGTGCTTGATGTAATTTTCTTCCTCTGAATTAGTCCCCAATTAACACCAGGGCCCAGTTCTGGAAAATGTCTAGATTTTAGGATGAAATGCATAGACTAAATATGAAGGTTGTCCCATTCAAGTCAATTTTTTCTGTTCTATGCATTTAATACTATCTGATAGATAAAACTGGGCCCTGCATTAATTTAAAGCCTGTTATATACCATTGGCTTATGCTGAATGCTGTGTTGTCCCTTGCAGGAGGAAAGTGGCTATGTGGTCTATGGGAACAGTATGATGTCTTCCTATGAAGTAGGGATTGGACCTCGAGGCTCAATCACCAGAGACAGCCATTTTGAGTGAGTCTTCTCTCCATGAAGTGGTGTAAAACTACAAAGTTCCCTTCAGCCAATTCCACTCAAGGCTTAACTGAACTGGCCATTTAACTACTTACAGATATGTTTATTTTCATGCCTTGAAATATTTCTAAAGTCATTTTCTGTTAGTCTCCTTGATTCACAGCTTGAGTGAGAATACCCTAAATGTACTAGCCTACCCAATGTGGAGACTCAGTACTGGCCTAAAGTACTTGTGTCAAAATGTTCATTCTTCTAGGCTGCAGTTCCAGTGCAAGTACTCTGACACTGCGGTGGAGTTTTTGGTTGTTGAGGTGAACGCTGTTCCTCCACCTGCTCCAGTCGCTGCTCCTGGACCTGTCCGAGTGGAGCTCCAACTGGCCAGCGGACAATGTTACAATAAGGGATGTGTGGAAGGTAAGCTGGAGAAATGGTTGGTGTTAGAAGAATCAAATCTTGCTGTGATGCTACGTTGCTTTGTGGCATACAAGGGGGTGGGTGCAGGCTTTCATTAAAAGCGAACTAACACCTGATTCTATGAATCCTAGTTTTCAATTAAGACTTAGTTGCATCAGATGGGTTACTACTTGGGTGGAACAAATGCTTGTTCCAACATTCTCTATGGCTAGCACTGTTTTGAAAGTTCTACACTTCAGTTTTGTGTGAACTCTACTCTTTCTCCACAGAAGTGGAAGCCTACAGGTCATACTACAGTGAGGCAGACTACCCAGTCGCAAAGCTCCTGAAGGAGCCAGTGTATGCAGGGGTTCACATCCTGGGGAGGACAGATTCTAACCTGGTCCTGAATCTGGAGTACTGCTGGGCCACCTCCACCCCCAGTCCCTTCAGCTTGCCCAAGTGGGACCTCCTGGTTGATGGGTAACTAGAGAACCAAGATGGTTGCCTTGCTGCTTGATTTCAAATCAAATTTTGTCACATGTTATTGTGGGCGTAGTGACTTTCTTGTGCATCTAGCTCTGACAGTGCCGTAATATCTAACAATTTATTTCAGTGTGTATATATAGTAAGGACTGGAATGTATACATATATGGACAAGCAATGGCAGAGCGACATGGACTAAGATCCTTTGCTTCATGTGTTTGAATTTAATTTTGAATCTGTGCTTACACGTGAAGCTTGTAAACTAACTGGCATCTTCCAATCAGGATTTCTGAAACCTGGGCATTTTGGGATTGCTTCTGCAATTGTCCCAACCTATTCCTAACAATGACTCTTTCCAGGTGTCCGTACCTGGATGACCGATACCTGACCAACGTGATCCCTGTGGATGGCTCCTCTGGCCTTGAGTTCCCGACCCACTACAAACGCTTTGTGGTCAAGATGTTCACATTTGTGGATGCCGACACTCTGGCCCCTCTGAAGGACAGGGTACTCCTTACTCTATTATAGCAGGTGTACTCGAATCTGGGTCTCATGGTCTGCAGGACTGCTGGGTTTTTCCCCTCCCTGATGGTTGACTGACTTGCCAGAGTCCATGCTCCTCTTTAACAAGTCTGACTCAGTCAATATGTTGGAAAGCAGTGCTGCGGACCTCAGACCAGTTTGAAATGACCTTACAGTTTAAATGGCTAATGTAGTTGATACCATGCTAACCGTAGTTTGCTTTCTATCCAGGTGTACATCCACTGTAGTACAGAGGTGTGCCACCCTACTAGGACCCACTCTTGTCAACAGAGCTGCAACCGGCAAAGTAAGATGTATATTTTTTTTAAATCTTCCAGTTAGGGTTGAAGTACTGTTCATCTAGCCTAATTTTGTAAAGCTGTCATCAACCCTGGTCCTAGAGGGCTGTGTATGCCTTGGCTCCGGCCCCAGCACGCAATAGCTCAACCTTTATTTGGCGACTGACGTAAATGCTAAAGATATTTTGTGACTTTCAAGTTGGGATTTAGGGCCTTGGCGTCAAGCCGGTTTGTGTGCCTCATGATCTTCTGTTGCTCCTTTAGGGAGAGATGTGGCTACAGTGACTTCTGTGGATGGAGAGACTACAGTGGTGTCCAGTGGGGAGCTCATTCTGAGCCGACCATAACTCCTTCCGCCTGTCCAGGCCTGAGAAGTACTTCAGCTTGGGATGAATGCATCACTTGTTGACCTTGTCGCATATTGTGACTTGTAATCCATTGGCTTGTTTAATAAAATTCTTCAAAATGTATTTGTCTGAAAGCTTAGTGCCTTTACTAGAACTCTATCAACATTTTGGGTGCAGGGTTGTTGCGCTAAGAATACTGTTTTTGGCACCCTTTCAATAACCTTGGCTGGCTGCTTGGTTCTTAAGACTCCCCCTCTCAGTGGAAGGTTACTAAAGCAACACACTGGCTTGGACTTTCAACCAGGTATTTTGACACCTACATGCCACTAACATTTAGCTTCTCAAATAAGGGTAATTTGTCAATGCCTTGACTACAGGAGTTAAGATGATGAATGGAAGCGACACTAGTTAATGTTCTGTAACCACTGACCTACAGTGCATATGGAGGGTAGCTTCACATGTGCTCTGCGTCCCAGCATCGGCTGAACAAGCAGAGGGAATGTGCTAAAAGGACAGAGTATACTTGCAGCCTGAGTAATGCATCAGTGACATGGCTGTGGTTCAGTATAGCAGAGGTGGCATGTCTGAAAGATCCTGCAGAGTATAATATTAGGGTAATGTGTGTCTTGAAAGGGATGTCTACGGAGAGCCAGCTGTGGACCATCTGCCAACTTACTGTACCTTCCCTAGCATCTGGCTTGGGCACCTGTACCCAACCACTGACTCAGCACGCGCTAATCTCACATGACTGCACCTAAATGTCATCCTTCAATTGCATGGAGTTTCAAACGTGCTTGGTAATATTTTGACGTGTTCTCTACACCAGTTCATGGGGTCAGTGCAGTCCCTTTCAGTATTATATAGAGCCATTATTGCATGGACCTTCTCATTGCTCAAATGAACAGCAAACCTGGTTTCATAAAGCAAAGACTCCCTTTGACCTAGTTTGTATGTGTGCTTTAAATTGCTGTAGTTCTGTCCATTCAGGTGTTCTGTAATGTGTGTAGCCCACTTAGAGTAGCTGCTGCTTTCGCAACAGCTAAGGGGATCCTAATAAAATACCATCTCTCTGAAACCTGTGTAAACACCAGTTCATAGGGTCAGCGCAGTGCCTTCATCTCTCTGCTCTCCTTCCTCCTCTTCCTCTCTACTCTCTCCCTCCCCCTTTAAGTACAGTGCTGTGATCTGAGAAGCCAGAGGTGCATTGAGATGAGCATAACGCCTCCCCCAGACACACTCCTCTACCATCCCTTTATCTGCTCTCTTCAGCTACCATCACTTCCCTTATACCCCTCCCTCTCATCTCCCTCTCTACCACTCTATTGAGATGGGCATCACAATTCCTCCAGACTCACTCTTTCTGCACGCTTGAGCAGCTGAGGTACAGAGGGAAACTGAACAGCCATGGCTTCTGTCTGAATGATAGGGAGAGTATTTCATTTTATCTATTTCACCTGCTTTGTCAATGTAAGCATGTTTCCCATGCCAATAAAGCCCATTGAATGTGTTCAACAGCCCATCTCACATCACTTTACTATCATCTGCCTTTCCCCATAGCACCCATTTAACCAAGGCAGCTCCACCGATCACATTCTGCAATACCTCATCCAACCACTCAACATCCCAGCCACCACTACTGTGTAGACAGCCAGTTACATCCTGAAAGGACACACACTGGCTGATGTTTGTGGAAACACACATACGTGATATGAATATGTAGGCTAAATGATAATGAACTCCATGTGCACAAGAACACACCTCCAGTACCGCACACGTGATCTTAATATTGCCTGTTAGTGGCCAATCAGAGGCCATCTGGAGCACGGCCCCCTGGGATAGCGGCAGATGATCTGGAAGAACTGTGGTCACCACTCAGGTTACCACAGAGATTATCTGTCTCATTGTCATCAGGTTAAAAAACAATGATATAGCAACTTTAAGATTACTGGCAACACCACAGCAGTGCTTCCTCTACCGTTACTTTGGCAAGGTGCACACCTGGTTCAACTCATCTATTACTCATCAGGCCCCCTTGACTAGATTGACTACAGTAGTTATGTCCCTTTTGATTAGTTGAATCGGGAGTGTTAGTACTTGGCTTGAACAAAACCCTGCACACAATATGGGTGCGTCAAAGAGCAGAAACGACACTAAAATGACATTCCACTGCTGTAATATAATCACCAAACACACCTACGTATTACGAAGTACTGAAACTCAGAGCAGTGCAGCTTATCCAAAACCCTCAGGGCTCGAGGGACAGGCTTGGGAAATCGAATTAGTAGGAGGAGAGAGATTTGACTCATCTGTCTGAAGATCTGCTTTAATATAGGTAATGGAGGCTGGTGTTGGAGTACTGTAGTTATCATATGAGTCAGCTAGAGTGAACACACATGCACGGATAGTCACACACACACAAACCCACACATGCATGTACACACACGAGCATACCATCAGCATACACTTACACACACATCCCATCATCCTATTAGTGGTTCTGCACTCCAACCATGAGGCCAGGAATGTTGTCAGAGAGATTGAAAAATCCAACTGGGAGACTGTCATGCCGTCACGAGTTTACCTGTGGGGGGTTCTCATTTCCATAATCTAAAACACTCCAGGAAAGCATCATTGCATTAGGAACAGGTCCCCCCCCTCACCTTTTTAGCTTGGCTATTAATTAGTCTGGCTAGCAGTCTTATTTCTTATTTTGCACATATTTTGTATTATTCTATGCTGCTTATACTATTTACCATGCTTCTTTGTCTATTTGTATTTTATTATGTACAGCACCTTGAGTTTCGGTCTCTGTAGCCATGAAGTGCTTTGAAAGGCTGGTCATGGCTCACATCAACAGCATTATCCCAGAAACCCTAGACCCACTCCAATTTGCATACCGCCCCAACAGATCCACAGATGATGCAATCTCTATTGCACTCCACACTGCCCTTTCCCACCTGGACAAGAGGAACACCTACGTGAGAATGCTATTCATTGACTATAGCTCAGCATTCAACACCATAGTGCCCTCTAAGCTCATCACTAAGCTAAGGATCCTGGGACTAAACACCTCCCTCTGCAACTGGATCCTGGACTTCCGGACGGGCCGCCCCCAGGTGGTAAGGGTAGGTAACAACACATCTGCCACACTGATCCTCAACACGGGGGCCCCTCAGGGGTGCGTGCTCAGTCCCCTCCTGTACTCTCTGTTCACCCATGACTGCATGGCCAGGCACGACTCCAACACCATCATTAAGTTTGCCGACGACGCAACAGTGGTAGGCCTGATCACCGACAACGATGAAACAGCCTATAGGGAGGAGGTCAGAGACCTGGCCGTGTGGTGCCAGGACAACAACCTCTCCCTCAACGTGACCAAGACAAAGGAGATGATTGTGGACTACAGGAAAAAAAAAGAGGACTGAGCACGCCCCCATTCTCATCGACGGGGCTGTAGTGGAGCAGGTTGAGAGCTTCAAGTTCCTTGGTGTCCACATCACCAACGAACTATCATGGCCAAACACACCAAGACAGTCGTGAAGAGGGCACGACAAAGCCTATTCCCCCTCAGGAGACTGAAAAGATTTGGCATGGGTCCTCAGATCCTCAAAAAATTCTACAGCTGCACCATCGAGAGCATCCTGACTGGTTGCATCATCGCCTGGTATGGCAACTGCTTGGCCTCCGACCGCAAGGCACTACAGAGGGTAGTGCGTACGGCCCAGTACATCACTGGGGCCAAGCTTCCTGCCATCCAGGACCTCTATACCAGGCGGTGTCAGAGGAAGGCCCTCAAAATTGTCAAAGACTCCAGCCACCATAGTCATAGACTGTTCTCCCTGCTACCGCACGGCAAGCGGTACCGGAGTGCCAAGTCTAGGTCCAAAAGACTTCTCAACAGCTTCTACCCCCAAGCCATAAGACTCCTGAACAGCTAATCATGGCTACCCGGACTATTTGCACTGCCCCCCCCACCCCATCCTTTTTACGCTGCTGCTACTCTGTTAATTATTTATGCATAGTCACTTTAACTCTACCCACATGTACATATTACTTCAACTATCTCAACTAGCCGGTGCCCCCGCACATTGACTCTGCACCGGTACCCCCCTGTGTATATATAGCCTCCCTACTGTTATTTGATTTTACTTCTGCTCTTTTTTTCTCAACACTTTTTTTGTTGTTGTTTTATTTTTACTTTTTTTGTTAAAAATAAATGCACTGTTGGTTAAGGGCTGTAAGTAAGCATTTCACTGTAATGTCTGCACCTGTTGTATTCGGCGCATGTGACCAATAAAATTTGATTTGATTTGATTTGTATCAATTCTGCAATACAATCCTGTACTACCTGTTCACCCATGACTGCCTAGCCATCCACGCCTCCAACTCAATCATCAAGTTTGCAGACGACACAACAGTAGTAGGCTTGATTACCAACATCGATGAGACAGCCTACAGGGAGGAGGTGAGGGCTCTCGGAGTGTGGTGTCAGGAGAATAACCTCTCACTCAACGTCAACAAAACAAAGGAGATGATCGTGGACTTCAGGAAACAGTAGAGGGAGTACCCCCCTATCCACATTGACGGGACAGCAGTGGAGAAGGTGGAACGTTTTAAGTTCCTTGGCGTATATATCACTGACAAACTGAAATGGTCCACCCACACAGACAGTGTGGTGAAGAAGGTGCAACAGCGTCTCTTCAACCTCAGGAGGCTGAAGAAATTTGGCCTGTCACCTAAAACCCTCACTAACTTTTACAGATGCACAATTGAGAGCATCCTGTCGGGCTGTATCACCGCCTGGTACGGCAACTGCACCGCCCACAACCGCAGGGCTCTCCAGAGGGTGGTGATGTCTACACAACGCATCACAGGGGCAAACTACCTGCCCTCCAGGACACCTGCAGCACCCAATGTCATCCAGAAGGCGAGGTCAGTACAGGTGCATCAAAGCTGGGGCCAAGAGACTGAAAAACAGCTTCTATCTCAAGGTCATCAGA